ACAATCGGGCAAGAGTCGGAGAATCGTAAAACGAATTGAAAATCGGAAGAATCGGAGAGTGGCAACTGAATAATGGATCACAACAATTTTTTTGCTATTCTCCGATTTAGCACTTATCTCTGTGGGGGTAAACGGTGAATTGATTGTTATGTGTTGCAGGCTATTCAGCTCGGGCCAACAGAAGCTTCTCGATATTGGATATACTGGGTACCTGCGCAGTACGTGGATGCTATAAAGGACACTATTCTGGGAAAATGGCAACCGTTCTAGGCTGAAAACAGTTCCGTAAAATAGTGCCATTCGACGTGATATATGATGACTTACAGTCAACTACAGGAAGTCATTTTTATGATCATGTAACCTAGTTCAATGCAGGTCGACTTCGTTGATCACAGAGGGAATATATTTTTTAAAGTGCTGCGTGCTGCCATTACGAGAAAACATGATGTGAAATAGCTGTGGTAAAGAAGAACTCATAATGCTGCACCTTAAACGCCTTTAGTCAAATCAGTTAAGTCTCCATCGTCGTGAGAAGTCACGCGCAAGTGGCACGCGAAAAGAAACGCGACTTCCCCGCTCCTCGCGGCTATACTCGCTCGCACGTTCTCTCGCTGCTCGCCTCGTTCGCTACTCAAAATGGCCCGCAGGCGAAATTTGCTTCGCCAGCTTCGAAGTAATCACTTGGCTGGAATGTCATAAAGGGAAATGCTCCTCTTTCTTCCCTTTACAGCGAGGTGTCATGTCGTTTTGCTTCAAAGTCGTTTCGTTTTCATTTTTGGAGGTATTCAACGAGCGCGCGAGGGTAAGTACGAAGTACGAGACCCCCGGTCAATGAATCCCTCGCGGTTTTATTTCCGTGCACACTCGACCATCTCTAAAGAGAAAATAGTGTGTCCAGAGACCAGAGTTCGGCTGGAAAATTGTTCTATACTCGTCTATGTGAATCACAGTGGTTGTGTAGAGCGTCAACAAAGTTCAAATTTAAATAGGTTGAAGGGGGAATAAAGTGAAGGCGCGCGAGGACACGATGGGCTCATTTTTTCCTTCTCGTGCGCTTTAATCCCCCCTTTCCCTTCGCTTCAAACGCCCTCCACGCAGGCTATGATTTTGGCCAAGTTCACTTTCTGCGCTTGTATTACTTGTTCCTGGCTCCAAGACAGTAGAGAGCTTTAGATTCCAGGACGAAGACGACTACTAGGACGACATTTAATTTTCTCGTCTATTCTCTAAAAATAGACACCTTGTACTTTTTTCACCACAAAAGTTAGCACGTATATTTCTGTTGAAGGAGTTAAAGCCCACTCCCGATCGCTAAATGATAAAATTCCCAACATTTGATATCTTGTTTTCGCCAATACGATGTTGCCGCTAAACCTCGTGGTACAATGACGATGGCTATCACACTTTCCCGCCAAAATGACACTGGTTCGCGCACGCCCACTACTTAGTACTTGGAAAATCTAGATGTCGTAGTCGTCCTCATCAAGGTCTCTAGTAATATGTAGTCGTACTGAAAAAAGATAGAAAGTGATGCGAAAAACGCATGCAGGCTGGCTATTTTTTCCCGCCACCGCCTCAAAAGTTCCGAGATAAAGCGCGTCTTATTTTACGTTGCTTGTTCTATTTCCGCGACGTCGCTTCTACCTGAGAGGCTGGCGCAGACTACGCTTTTATGGACCGAGACTGTCTCGAATGAACAATCTTGGTAAAAGAAAAAGGTTTTTGTTATCGTAAGCCAACTCGTTAGGCCCTCTTACACGCTCGGGTAGCCAATCAGAACACCGTATTCGCTTCATCTTGCCCCCTACTTCGGAGCCAGCTAAAGAAAATAAAATGAAATAGTAGGATGGCTTAGCAACAGAACGGGAACGTCAGTTGACGACGGCGCGCGCAAATCAAACGACTGGCTTGACCAATGGCAGAGCGGCAAATTGAGCACCGGAAGTCGTGTTTAGTCCTTTCCGCGCGCTTTCCCGTCGTCAACTTACGTTCCCGTCCTGTTGCTAAATCAGCCTATTATCTAGGCGGGGATTTGAGAAAAGACTTTGTAGCAAAACGACTGGTAACATATAACGACATCGACCACGCAGCTGCGTTAAGGCTTACTCTGCCAGTTTTAAAGCAGTTACTGTACCTGCAGTTCCAAAATTCACAGCATACAAAAAGTTAAAATTAATATACAAATAAAAAAGGAGAAACAATATTTGACTATACAATTTTCTAGCTGTTTTAATGATTTTCCTCGGAAGCCAGTTTCCCAATTCAACCCATTTTGATTAAGTGTGGAATGAATATAAAACCAACCAGCTGGAACGTTAGTGGAAGATACTTTTTAAAAAATATGTTTTCATTTCCTTGTTATTTGCCTATAAAGCTTACTACAGTGGAATGTTTTCAAGGAAACTCACCGCTTGTTGAAGGGGTGGTTATCCCCCCAATAGCCATAATGGGACCATTATTGCTCTTGTCCCGCGTTTCCAGTTTTAGGAATGATTTTTTAATTTATTTGCCTGGGATTCAGTTGAAGATTCCCGGCTTTATTTCCCTTCCTCTTACAATCGTTTTACAAGCGAGACGCCGGGTTGTTGCCCCTTTGAGGGGCACAAACTGAATATGGCGACCGGGAAACCAGCAGAAACAAATTTCGTAGATACATCTCTTGAGGAACTCATAAAGATGAAAGTAATATTTATTCCGAGCCATGGCCAAACAAAATCTCAAAAATTTGGGAACCTTAAAACCCACATAAGAGCTTTCCCGACCGCCAGCTAAATTCCGCCTCACGCCAAAGTTTGAAAATTCAAGTGTCCTCTATCGCAATTCGAAGAACCCTTTCGAACCGAAGTCTTTTTAAAAAAAGGTGATTAGCTGCTGTAATAGCTAATGAAAGTGGAAACTCAGAAGAATCGATAATTCCTTAGTTTGAATTTTGGTGACGTCATGTGAAAACCCGAGAATAATAATAATAATAATAACAATTATAATAATAATAATAAAACTTAAATAGGTAACATCCCCTACGAGCTTTTCAGAAACTATTTACAATGAGAATAAACTTAATAAAAGGATAAAAGAGTGAAACATCCTCCAAGTGTTAAAGAAATAGCTTACTAAAAATATTATGATATAATTGCAAAGTTTATAGGTTACCCAGACAAATTACAAATTGCACTGAGTATGAAGACTGATTCTTTCATGGATGCCTTGAACTTTTTAAGAGAACTGTTATATGCTTTATATTGTCATCTAGGCTGTTCCAAATGCATGTCACTCTAAAGTTGAAAGTTCGTTTATAACGGGAATCGCGCGTGCCAGTAAAGCGATCGTTTATATTTATAGAGCCCTCTTAAAACCTTTACAAAGATGGACAAGCCTGGAACCACTTGCACTAGCAAAAGCATATAACCCTTAAGGAGAGGCTATATACTGAGTTATACGCTTTAAGGTAATTCAGGGTTCGTACAGCTTCGATGCAAAATTCAAGACTTTTTTCCAGACTTTTTTCCAAAACAATAACTTCTTTTTCCACACTCAAGGTTATCAGAAAGGTGATCATCTTAAAAGACGCTGGAACAAGCTCCTGACGGGCGAGATTGAATAAGATTTGACCAAAACCAGAAAAAAAATTCACTCATATAGCACTTATTGTAGCTTTGAAAAAAATCTTTATCTCCTTTTCCAGACTTCTTCCAGGTCTGGAAACTTGTGCTGGACAAATTTCAAGACTTTTTCAAGAATTCTACGTACGGATCCTGTACCCTTCAGTGGTTATGACCGAGTATGGCGACAGTTTACGGCATCTTGAATTTGATATTGCACAAGAGAGAATGATCTATTCTCTCTTGTATTGCATCATTGCCAAACTTGCGATATGGAGCGAGTTTGTTTCGGTCTGCTATATACTCCCGAACTCGCTGTTCCTTATCTTAATGTTGGGAATGAGGGAAATCTGTTATCTTTAAGTTCCGTCGAATTTAGACTATAATAAGGGGCCGACCCTTTGACCTTGGAGGGGGGTATAGGTAGGTGATTTCAGAAAAAAGTTTCCTGCAGTGCAGCCTGGTTTCGAGGGGAAAAAATTTCTTGCAAGGGAATACCTGTCGAAAAAAAAATCCTACACTGAAAAAAAAAACTTTCATGGCGTGTTATGCTGGAAAAAAATCCTACGCCGTTGTATGTCGAGCAAAACAAATTATATCAAACCAAATCACCCATACCCCCCTCCACCCTCCCCACCACCCCCGACTCCAAAGTCAATTTTACAATAACTGAGCGAATCCTCGCGCGCTGATTGGTCGATAGCTATGCTCTATTGTGCAGCGGAAACTGCCACGTCGTCTTCTGAAGGTCAGCGGTTTTTAAAATCATCCAAGATGGCGGATACGGTAAGGACACTTTCAAATCGTAAATTGCTTCTGTTTTTCTGCGAAGATGTTTGTGTTTTTAGCTTTATTTTAATCAGAATATAAGTAATAATCCTTGCTATCTTTTTAGAAATCTTGCCAAGTTTAATGAAAATACGTCCAAAGCGAGCAAGGATATTGCTCCACAAGGTCGCAGAGTTTTCATTACAGATGTTGTTTGTGTCCTCCACCATACAAATGTCTTTGAAATTCCGCGAATTTGAGGAGTTATATCCTCGTTAGTTTTGAACAAACCACTTTCAAACCGATTTAAAGGCAGCTGTGTTGACCGGCGGATTTTCGCTAACTGGTTCTAGTCAAAAGTTGGAAAAACCTATTTCATCTTTATCAATGTCGCCCTCGACCAGCAATATCCTGTATTAATAAACTAAAGGGGGATAAAAACTTCCGGAATACTTACTTTTTGCATAACACCTTTTAAAAACCCTTTAACTGCAAAGAGCACCAGTCATCAAATTTGACAAAATCCTGTGGTAAAATATAATATTGAAAAGCAACATGATATCAAGCAAAAGCCCTCACGGCCTAGCAGAAGTTGCTTACCCTATACATTTCAGGTGAAATACATTTTATTTACAGGAAAAGTTACCAGATATTCCAGTCGCGGGGATGTATAACAAATATGGTGGAAAAGTCAGGTTAACCTTCAAACTCCAGTTGGATCAACTATGGATTGGAACAAAAGGTTTGTTGTACGTTTATCTGATAGCAGGATCTTACTTTTAATTTTTGGCCATAATTCACAATGTCCGCTCAGTAGATACCCAGCGTAATTAGCAACGAGCACGCTGACGTCCCGGACGTCATGAATACAGTAGCAACCGGAAGTTCGATGTCTCGCTTGACGGAACGCTTCTGTCTCACACAACGAATCTGAGTACCTTTGTTTTAACTCCTGCTGTACGTATTTGTCGAGTCCGGTTGCCATTTTTGACGTCCGGGACGTCAACGTTCTCTTTGTTTAAGGTCCCTATTAACCCCTGCACCACCCGTAACCGTCCTTTTAGATCCATGTCGCTTGTACGACATGTGAGGTCACCAGTTTAAACGGTCATGGGTATTTTTTTTTTCTTATAACTAATTTGTGAAGGGGGGAGAGGTCTTTTAAACGTTACCTGAATATCACCATTCAGTTAAACAGGGCACAGAAAAACGCAAAAAAGAAGCAAAAAGTTGACCAGAAAATTCTCGGAGCTATGAAGCTCTCAGAAACCTTTATTTTCGTTTTCATGATCCGCGCGATCGCTGGAATTCCCTCGGCTATTACCTCGCCCTATCCGCACCCTGTCGATGCTGTCCAAAATATTCCACTGTTCATTAACCTGTCCACAGGCGTTTTTTCCCCCCCGAGGATTCGGCCGTGCTTTCACTCGCACGCGAGAACGAGCACGACACGCGGGGAAAAAAACAATTTTCTCCTTTCCCCACCCACACCCCCATGCGTTTCCGGTTTTTATTTTCACGCGCGCGCTCGACGATCTCTAATGAGAAAACAAAGGGTCTCTGAACAGGCTAATTGTTCATCTAAACAAGTTCAAGGGCTGTCAGCGTGATCTTATGTGATCTTACATGTTTATTCTTTAAATCTTATTTCGCTGTAAACTGCGCTGCTAGTCGCACTGCTATAAAGGAAGCTGAATTTTATCATTTGTTTGCAGAACGAACGGAAAAAATACCAATGGGGTCAATAAAAAATGTCATCTCCGAATCAATTGAAGGCCATGAGGAGTATCATATTATGGTAAGCCTAAAGTCGGCTTTACAGGATGTCAAGTCCATTTTTCTTAATTTTAGCTCGCTTTATTGTATTGTCCTCTGGCACTACCGAAACTGTAATAGCTAAAGAACGTTTTAAGTGGCTCACATTTGCACCAGAGCAGTGCGAAAGCAGTTGGAATTTAGTACAACTGATGTAGGTGGGCTGTTCTCCGATCAAGCTCTACAGATTTTCTCAATTTTACCATTCTGCGATGTAAACTTTTATTTAAGACAAGTCTCCGATTGTACGATTCTTCCGATTTTAGTGTGCTATTGTCCGACGATTCTCCGATTTTTCCTGGAGAGCGCGAAATTTTACACTTGTCACAAGCTTGTTTCGCCCCGTGCCATAAAGATGGAGAAATATTCAGGACGTAACTAATCGATATTTTCGATACTCGATAGAAATCGAACGTAATCGATCGTAATCAATAATAATAATAATAATGTTTATTTCTTATATTGCGCAGTCTAGCATGCGATAAAGATATGATCGAGTGCGCATTACAACACTAAAATCTTAAATCTTAATCGATACTAATCAATCGATTAATATCGGAAATCGATAGAAATCGATCACTCGCGTCTTTGTGATTTTCGATTTTGATCGATTTCTGTAATTAGCTATCGATTTTATCGATTTGTTCGACAATGATCGAAATGAAAATGGACGAAGATTCTCCGCGCTCCGTAAGCCACGAGAACGGAGAACGAGAACGAGAACGGACGACAGTTTGCCAATTTCTACATTAGTGACTCCGGCTATTTACCACGATTCTGACAATTCTAGAGTACAAATTTACAGCAGTGATCCTGGTACAAAAAATAAATAAGAAAAGTAGCTACCATTGGAGAAAGAAGTAACATCATCTTTATCAACAAAGCGGATTCTAAGGTAAGCTTGAAGGTAAGTGTTACGCAGTGTTGTGATAAGATCAGATCACGTTTCAGATTTTCGATTTCCATAGATGCGACAAAAAATTTGTGATTATCGATTTCAATCGATTAAATTGACTAATCAATCGACAAATATCGAGTACTATCGAGTATTATCGATTAATCGATTACATTTTCGATGATCGATTTCTATCGATTAGTTACGTCCTGAATATTACATGTGAAGCGCGCTTGTTTCACTTTATGGCTTGAAGAAGGAGGAATATTCCTAGTTTGGCACGCTTGTTTTGCTTTATAGCGGAAAAGACGAGGACTATAAACGTTTGCAGCGATTTTTTTCTCAAAAATGGTAGTCACAAAAAGAACGAAATTTTAAAAGAATGTAGAATCGAAACAATCGGGCAAGAGTCGGAGAATCGTAAAACGAAACTTGAGAATCAGAAGAATAGGAGAGTGGCAACTGAATAATGGACCACAACTATTATTTTACTATTCTCCGATTTGGCACTTATCTCGCACTCTCCTGAATTGCACCTAGCACAGTTTGGGGGTAAACGCTGAATTGATTATTTTGTGTTGCAGGCTATTCAGCTCGGGCCAACAGAAGCTTCTCGATATTGGATCTACTGGGTACCTGCGCAGTACGTGGATGCTATAAAGGACACTATTCTGGGAAAATGGCAACCGTTCTAGGCTGAAAACAGTCCAGTAAATAGTGCCATTCGACATGATATATGATGACTTACAGTCAACTACACGAAGTCATTTTATGATCATGTAACCTAGTTCAGTGCGGGTCGACTTCGTTGATCACAGAGGGAATATATTTTTTAAAGTACTGCGTGCTGCCATTACGAGAAAACATAATGTGAAATAGCTGTGGTATAGAAGAACTCATAATGCTGCACCTTAAACGCCTTTAACCAAATCAATTAAGTCTCCATCGTCGTGAGAAGTCACGCGCAAGTGGCACGCGAATGGAAACGCGACTTCCCCGCTCCTCGCGGCTATACTCGCTCGCACGTTCTCTCGCTGCTCGCTTCGTTCGCTACTCAAAATGGCCCCCAGGCGAAATTTGCTTCGCCAGCTTCGAAGTAATCACTTGGCTGGAATGTCATAAAGGGAAATGCTCCTCTTTCTTCCCTTTACAGCGAGGTGTCATGTCGGTTTGCTTCAAAGTCGTTTCGTTTTCTTTTTTGGAGGTATTCAACGAGCGCGCGAGGGTAAGTACGAAGTACGAGACCCCCGGTCAATGAATCCCTCGCGGTTTTATTTCCGTGCACACTCGACCATCTCTAAAGAGAAAATAGTGTGTCCAGAGACTAGAGTTCGGCTGGAAAATTGTTCTATACTCGTCTATGTGAATCACAGTGGTTGTGTGGAGCGTCAACAAAGTTCAAATTTAAATAGGTTGAAGGGGGAATAAAGTGAAGGCGCGCGAGGACACGATGGGCTCATTTTTTTTCCTTCTCGTGCGCTTTAATCCCCCTTTCCCTTCGCTTCAAACGCCCTCCACGCAGGCTATGATTTTGGCCAAGTTCACTTTCTGCACTTGTATTACTTGTTCCTGGCTCCAAGACAGTAGAGAGCTTTAGATTGCAGGACGAAGACGACTACTAGGACGACATTTAATTTTCTCGTCTATTCTCTAAAAATAGACACCTTGTACTTTTTTCACCACAAAAGTTAGCACGCATATTTCTGTTGAAGGAGTTAAAGCCCACTCCCGATCGCTAAATGATAAAATTCCTAACATTTGATAACTTGTTTTCGCCAATACGATGTTGCCGCTAAACCTCGTGGTAGAATGACGATGGCTATCACACTTTCCCGCCAAAATGACACTGGTTCGCGCACGCCCACTACTTAGTACTTGGAAAATCTAGATCTCATAGTCGTCCTCATCAAGGTCTCTAGTAATATGTAGTCGTACAGAAAAAAGATAGAAAGTGATGCGAAAAACGCATGCAGGCTGGCTATATTTTTCCGCCACCGCCTCAAAAGTTCCGAGATAAAGCGCGTCTTATTTTACGTTGCTTGTTCTATTTCCGCGACGTCGCTTCTACCTGAGAGGCTGGCGCAGACTACGTTTTTATGGACCGAGGCTGTCTCGAATGAACAATCTTGGTAAAAGAAAAAGGTTTTTGTTATCGTAAGCCGACTCGTTAGGCCCTCTTACACCCTCGGGTAGCCAATCAGAACACCGTATTCGCTTCATCTTGCCCCCTACTTCGGAGCCAGCTAAAGAAAATAAAAGGAAATAGTAGGATGGTTTAGCAACAGAACGGGAACGTCAGTTGACGACGGCGCGCGCAAATCAAACGACTGGCTTGACCAATGGCAGAGCGGCAAATTGAGCACCGGAAGTCGTGTTTAGTCCTTTCCGCGCGCTTTCCCGTCGTCAACTTACGTTCCCGTCCTGTTGCTAAATCAGCCTATTATCTAGGCGGGGATTTGAGAAAAGACTTTGTAGCAAAACGACTGGTAACATATAACGACATCGACCACGCAGCTGCGTTAAGGCTTACTCTGCCAGTTTTAAAGCAGTTACTGTACCTGCAGTTCCAAAATTCACAGCGTACAAAAAGTTAAAATTAATATACAAATAAAAAAGGAGAAACAATATGTGACTATACAATTTTCTAGCTGATTTTCCTCGGAAGCCAGTTTCCCAATTCAACCCATTTTGATTAAGCGTGGAATGAATATAAAACCAAACCAGCTGGAACGTTAGTGGAAGATACTTTTTAAAAAATATGTTTTCATTTCCTTGTTATTTGCCTATAAAGCTTACTACAGTGGAATGTTTTCAAGGAAACTCACCGCTTGTTGAAGGGGTGGTTATCCCCCCAATAGCCATAATGGGACCATTATTGCTCTTGTCCCGCGTTTCCAGTTTTAGGAATGATTTTTAATTTATTTGCGTGGGATTTAGTGGAAGATTCCCGGCTTTATTTGCCTTCCTCTTACAATCGTTTTACAAGCGAGACGCCAGGTTGTTGTCCCTTTGAGGGGCACAAACTGAATATGGCGACCGGGAACCCAGCAGAAACAAATTTCGTGAATACATCTCTTGAGGAACTCATAAAGATTAAAGTAATATTTATTCCGAGCCATGGCCAAACAAAATCTCAACAATTTGGGAACCTTAAAACCCACATAAGAGCTTTCCCGGCCGCCAGCTAAACTCCGCCTCACGCGAAAGCTTGATCTATCGCAAATCGAAGAACCCTTTCGAACCGAAGTCTTTTAAAAAAGAAGGTGATTAGCTGCTGTAATAGCTCATGAAAGTGGAAACTCAGAAGAATCGATAATAAAACTTAAATAGGTAACATCCCCAACGAGCTTTTCAGAAACTATTTACAATGAGAATAAACTTAATAAAGGGATAAGAGAGTGAAACATCCTCCAAGTGAAATAAAAAATAGAAAAGAACTAAATACTAAGAAATAGCTTACTAAAAATATTATGATATAATTGCAAAGTTTATAGGTTACGCACACAAATTACAAATTGCACTGAGTATGAAGATATTCTTTCATGGATGCCTTGAACTTTCAAAGAGAACTGCTATATGCTAATATTGTCATCTAGGCTGTTCCAAATGCTTGTCACTCTAAAGTTGAAAGTACGTTTAAAACGGGAATCGCGCGTGCCAGTAAAGCGATCGTGTATATTTATAGAGCCCTCCTAAAACCTTTACAAAGATAGACAAGCCTGGAATCACTTACACTAGCAAAAGCATATAACCCATAAGGAGAGGTTATATACTGAGTTATACGCTTTAAGGTAATTCAGGGTTCGTACAGCTTCGATGCAAAATTCAAGACTTTTTTCCAGACTTTTTTTCCAAAACAATAACTTCTTTTTCGACACTCAAGGTTATCAGAAAGGTGATCATCTCAAAAGACACAGGAACAAGCTCCTGACGGGCGAGATTGAATAAGATTTCACCAAAACCAGAAAAAAATTTCACTCATATAGCACTTATTGTAGCTTTGAAAAAAATCTTTATCTCCTTTTCCAGACTTTTTCCAGGTCTGGAAACTCGTGCTGGACAAATTTCAAGACTTTTTCAAGAATTCCGACGTACGAACCCTGTACCCTTCAGTGGTTATGACCGAGTATGACGACAGTTCACGGTAACTTGAATTTTGATATTGCACAAGAGAAAATGATCTATTCTCTCTTGTATTGCATCATTGCCAAACTTGCGATATGCAGCGAGTTTGTTTCGGTCTGCTATACTCCCGAACTCCCTGTTCCTTATCTAAATGTTGGGAATGAGGGAAATCTGTTATCTTTAAGTTCCGTCGAATTTAGCCTATCATAAGGGGCCGACCCTTTGACCTTGGAGGGGGGTATAGGTAGGTGATTTCAAAAAAAAGTTTCCTGTAGTGCAGCCTGGTTTCGAGGGGAAAAAACTTCTTGCAAGGGAATACCTGTCGAAAAAAAAAAGTCCTACACTGAAAAAAAAAAACTTTCATGGCGTGTAATGCTGGAAAAAATAATCCTACGCCGTTGTATGTCGAGTAAAACAAACTATATCAAACCAAATCACCCA